ACAGTCTCTGAATCTCACCTGACAAATAGTTTAAGATTATTTGGATGACTTCCAGTGGCAAGGCTTTAAAACTTCCAAGTGTTGATAAGGGTTGAGAATCTGAATCTTGTTTGTTGGAAAAGTAGCTGGACTGACGATTACTACGTCTGTATTTCTGGTTGAGAATCTTTGTGGAACTGGCAGTTACTCTAGATGCCATTTTTAAAAAGTCTTATGAATTTATCCTGGTTAGAAAACAAAATACAAGAGATAAAGAAGAAAGGAAATTAAAGTGACAAAGAGTTGCGGGTTTTGTACTGCTCAAATGGACCCAGGGCCTCCTGCATTGGAGGCCAGAGCTCTGCCACCAAGTACCACCCCCAGCCCTGTTTTGTTTGTTTTTATTTTAAACAAAGGGGTCCACAATGGGCACCAGCTGTCTCTATATTTACAGAAGTTTCACTATAATGTCTGCTTGATAGGGGGTCTGACCAATACAATCTATATATTCTCAGCATCGTTTGAAAAATTTTTCTTGACCAAACATTCTAAATAAAGAGTATTACTAGGAATTGAGACATTGTATTTCAATGAGAAATAGTTCTAGGAAAATAAAAATAGGAAAAAAGTTAAACAATATGGTTTAACTTGTGGACAAGATCTTAGGGACAGGTATAAAAATATACTTTCTTTTGTAGCCTGAATTCATTGTTCAGATTGAGTTTTGACACATAGAAGGAATATTATGAAAAATAAAAGAAGAAAAAGAGGGGGCCAGGGAGATAGCTCAGTAGAATAAGTGCTTGCCTGGCAAGCTCAGGGTCTTGAGTTCAATCCCCCATACAGAAAAAAAAAGAAAGAAAGAAAGAAAAAGAAAAAGAAAAAAATACAGGGCCAGTGAGATAGCTCAGTGGACTAAGCGCCTGCTTAAGCAAGCATAAGGATTGGGGTTTGATCTGGGGAACTGTGTGCCTCACCAGCCCCTCGCCCTGGCGCACTGAGCTGGCCACCAAGTCCAGAAAACAGGAGGATCACTATGAGTCTGAGCTGCATAGTGAAACCCTGTACCAAATACATTAAAAAAATTTTTTTAAAAAGAAAGGAAAAAAATACATAAAACATTATGACTCAAAATACAGCTGAAAGGGGACCAGGGAGATGGCTCAGTAGAATAAGCGCTTGCCTGGCAAGCTCAAGGGCCTGAGTTCAATCCCCAGTTCTGCCCCCCCCCCAAAAAAAAATACAGCTAGGAGGTACCAAAATAGTGGAGCACTTGCCTAGTTATGTGAGGCTCTAGGTTCAATCCCCATGACCCCAAAACAAAAGAAACGAAAAACAATCACTGAAACCCATAATATAAATCAATTAGTATGTTCTTTTTGCAACTATTATATTCTAAACTGATCAAAGAATTAGTATAGTTTTAAAATTTTGTAGCATTATTCTTATATTTCTTTAAAATTGGGGGGCGGGGGAGATAGCTTAGCCTGGCAAGTGAAAGGTCCTGAGTTCAATCCCTAGTACCACAAAAAATAAAATAAAATTGAGTACTGGCGTGTGTTTTTTGATAGAAGCAGTAACACACACACACACACACACACACACACACACACACACACACAAAAGACTTCAAGTTTAGAGCTATTCAAATGAAGTAGCTCTAACAAATTAAG